GCAGGAATTCTTATTAAAAAAAAAAACAAAAAATGCCTTGGGACAAGGCTGCGCTAGGCGCTGTATGTGCTCCCCCCAAGGCTGAGATGCCCAGCTGTGGTACGGGGCTAATGATACTTACCTGTTTTGTCTATACAGCGAGTTACTCCGGGCAGCGGCTGGTTTTCACTGGGGGACTGGGCAGTGCCTCGCAGGGTTATACAGTGCCCGGCATGACAGGCCCCAGTCTCAGCCTGGGGGTTTGTAGCACAGTCCCAGTCTGCAAACTGGGCTCATGGAACTTGTAGCCCACAGGGGGGAAAAACCATTCTGCAGTCCTAGCCTGGATAGAGACTGGAGCTTGGACTCGGTTACCTCAAACCTCTCTCTTCCTTCACAGGAGGTTTGTGAAGATAAAATGCATTAAAGATCCTAAGGGTCCTTGGGTTCTGCAGTGGGCAGTCGCTGCCCTACAGTATGCTTTCTGGCCCCAAATCTATACTGCAGCATCCCCCAGCAAGAGTATATCTACCCCCCCTGATCTGTGACTAACCTTTTGTACATCGCTGGGTTGTCAGGATGCTCAAAAAGCCAGTGAAATAGAAAGTATTGCATTATCCACTTGGTCATGTGAGGGTGGAATGTATTTATTTTTCATGAAAAGGGTGGCTGTTTGCTTTTTGGAGCAGAAAGTTGTGAATGTCTCTGCGGTGAGGATAGCTGAAATGCTGAGGAGCTGCTGCCCAGTCTTAAAGACAGCATTGGTCTCCTGATTGCGGCTTAGTGTGTTTTAATGGTCCCAAGGCATGTTATCTCTGTGCAAACCTTTCAGGAAGCCTTTATGTCAAGGCATGAGTTTGCCTCGCTTTGTTTCCATCGCTGGAAAAATTGTGACTCTCTTGCCGTCATTGAAAAACAGGCAGGAATTTCATAAAGGGGTTTCACGGGGCGCTCTTTCCATTCCTTGTGTCCCCCCCCGTCCCTCCCCAAGTATCCTGTCCATTCCCTTTCCCCACAATTAATTGTAATAACTTCCAGCACAAAACTCTTTTCTGAGATTCTTGCCAATGGGGGTGGAAGTAACTGTATTAGCTGAAGCCATCCATAAAATGGGGTTTTGAGCATAATTTCTCTGGTTAGTGCCAGCTAGATAACTTCTGCTTGTGGTGCTAGCTAAGATTGGAAACTGAGGCCGCTATGTAAAATTGTCCTGAGATGCAGTCCCAGCTTTGAAAATCTTCTTATCCAAATGGACAAAGGAAGATGGGAGAGTATTTTTGGGGGGGAGGATGGGGAAATTATGACACTGGAAACAGACCTCCTGTCTTGTCTCGCTGTGGTTCTTAATTCATGACCCCTGCTGTGACTCAAGCAGTATTTGTAAAGCCTTTTAAGGAAACATTTTTTGTGGAGCAGGAGTCAGATCCTGCCCTCAAGCTGACCAGTGGGTGATTCTGTTAAAATCTGTGGAGCCGTACTGTGTATAATTGAAGGCAGAATATGTTCCTCTGTATGCTTTCTCAAAGTGTTTGGCAAGGGAAATCGTTACGAGATAAGATAATTTTTAAAAGGGGGTGCTGGAAAGAGATACTGTATTTAGTTGTATACCACATGCCTTCAGATAAAACTGGCACCTTGTTTGGGGGCAAAGTAGATGAAAGAAAAGAGAGATTCGTTCCATTTAGCTAGTGTTCAGAACCTTTTAAGACAAACCCCCTAAGTTTCAATAACTAGTCTTAGGGGAAAAGGTGAGTGTGGTATGTGCATAAATAAGGTATTTATTTTGTCCTTCACTGTGGCCTGAACCCTTGTAAAGAAGTTGAGTTCATAGGATCATAGGGAAGTTGGGCTGGGAAGGGACCTCAGGAGGTCACATCTAGTCCAGCCTCCTGGTCAAGGTAGGAAGGACCCCAGCCAAGTGTCTGTCCAACCTGCTGAGTATTTCCAGGGATGGAGACTCCGCCAGCCTCTTCCAATGCATGGCCACCCTCAGAGTCGGGAAGTTCTTCCTTATCTCCCACCTCAATTTCCCCTGCTGCGACTTGAGGCTATTGCTCCTAGTCCTGTCCCCTGTGGTCACAGAGAGAAGCCTTTCTCCCCATCCCATATAATTGCTCTTCAGGGTTTTGAGACTGTGATCAAATCTCCTCCTTAGTCTTCTCTAGACTAAATAGTCCTAGTTGTTTTAGTTTGTCCTTGTATCATAAGGCATGCTTCCCAGGCTTCTAATCATTATTGTCCACCTTCTTGAAGTGTGGGGCCCAAAACTGGACGTGGGAGTCCAGGTGAGGCCTCGCTTGTGCTGAACGGAGCGAGAGAGACACTGCCTTTGACTTGCAAGAGACACTTCTGTTAATACAGCCCAGTCTGGTGTTGGCTTTGTGTGCAGCAAAAGCACCCTGTTGGCTCATATTCAGGTTATGCTCTACAGTAACCCCCAAGTCTTTCTCTGCAGTCTTGCAGCCCAGGCAGTCATTCCCCAGTCTGTGTTTGTGCATGCAGTTATTCCGCAGGACATCTAGATTCCAGAATGAATTCCCGTCGGCATTTGAGGTATCAAAGAACTCTTTTTTTTTTTTTTTTTCTTTTCTTTTCTTCCTTCCTTTGGATATTTTTGTATTTGCGGGACTTAAACCAAAAATAACAGCATGGGGGAGGTTGTTCAAGGGAGAGTTGTACTTTTATTTGATGTTTTGAGGCTAATTAAGCTCTCTTCAGCGAACACAGAGGCGTGGCATTATGATAAAACACAAGAACGAGAAAACCAGGCTGATTGCACGGTATTAGATGGAGCCACATGAAAATACAGATCCAATTCCAATAAAAAAAAGCTTCCACCTCTGTTTGAAGCAGAGAATTGAGCCATCTGTGCAGGGAAGTTTTCCTGTCTTCCACCGAGCTGCCTCTCTTTCCTGTGGCTTTTCCTGCTTTTAATTCTTCCCTGACCCATTCTCTAGCTGCCTAGACAGTCAAAACTGCATCAGTCTTTTCCAGGGGGATTCTTGCCCTGTTTCCCACAGCTGTAGAAACATTTTCCGCTCGGAAAACAGCACTAAAATAACGTATCGGGAGAGCACTGCCCTTCGCATCTCAGGGCCTAAAATTTATTTTACAGGGGGTGGAATTTAACCCTGTTTTACACCGGGAGAATTGACTCGCACTGCTAGTAAATCCAGGCACACAAGGTGCGAGTGTTGGGAATGGAGGCCAGTTCTAGCCACCCACCATTCAGTGCTCTTTCCACTCCTCTATAGTGGGTTGGGGAGGGTGTCGTTTGTAGCCCAGTTGTGGGTACCAAAGGTGGCCCCATCCAGTCTGCACCCATCTGAGGAGGTGTGCAGCAAACGCATACAGAGGTTTGGCTGTGGCATACGTAAATGCGGACCTGCATCTGCGTCAGTAGTTGTCAACCAGGGTGCTGCGGGAAAGTCGCAGCTCGGCCTTGAAATGTCTGGGGTGGCATGCAACGTTAGCTCTGTTCGATATGAAAATATGATTCGCTGGAGAAGCCCAGAAAATCCAGTAGGAATCCAGAGTGTCCAAACCCTTCTGACCTGTTAGGATCTTTCAGAGTTCTTTGCAACAGAAGAATTGCTCAGCATTTTGCCTGTGATGAGCTGGCATTTTCCGAGGGGGGCCTGGAGCCTAACAAGGCAGGGAACTGCCGATCTGAGTCCACGGCATAGCTGGAGACCCAGCTAACCTATGTCCGCATTCAGCCTATTTT